TTAAAATATTCCCACCCAAACCCAAGTAATGAAGGTGGAGGCATTATTTTTCATTCAACCCTTGTACTTCCATGTGATAGCAAATCAGCTAATGATCTCATCCTAAATAACACGAAGTGCAACACTTCGCTGACCTGACCAGAAAGCGAAAGCTGCCATTCTTATTTTAGAGGGGCAAAGTTGCTCTGCTAGAAAGTCTTGGTTGAAGACAACTTTCTATGCTTTTTGTGCAATATTGACTTATTGATTTTTCTCAACCCTGCTGTCAGGAAGCGAATATCTGATATTTTGACAGGAATTGTGTGCTAACCGCTCTCAGAAACGGCTTTGGTCTTCCTGTAAAGCTTTCAAAGCACCATAACCATCCAGTGTTCTGTACTGCAACTGAGAGGGGATGTCTCTTTACCTGTGAAAAGAAACCATCAACAGAGCGGCCATGTTAATCAATCTGGTTCTGCTCTGTGCTGCTGCTTACGTAAAGCTTTCAAAGTTTTGGGATATGTGTCCATGATTTGCCATGTCAAACAAAGAGTCGGATTAGACTTCCTTTATCTAGCTTGGTGGTTGATTAAATGTCCTTTGACCAGTATCTGGCCACTTGGAGTGCCTCTGGTGAGGCCACAAGGAGGTCCTCCATTGTGCATGTGGCAGGGCTCAGGTTGCCATTGCAGCGGGTGGTCTGTGGTTTGCTCTTCTCCACACTCGCATGTCGTGGATTCCACTTTGTAGCCCCATTTCTTAAGGTTGGCTCTGCATCTCGTGGTGCCAGAGCGCAGTCTGTTCAGCACCTTCCAAGTCCCCCAGTCTTCTGTGTCTCTCATTTGGTATCAGCGATTGGTTGAGGTTCTGGGTTTGAGCCTGCCACTTTTGGACTCTCGCTTGCTGAGGTGTTCCAGCGAGTGTCTCTGTAGATCTTAGAAACTTATTTCTTGATTTAAGTCGTTGACGTGCTGGCTGATACCCAAACAGGGGATGAACTGGAGATGTTGCTGCCTTGGTCCTTTCACTATTGGCTGCTACTTCCCGGCTGATGTCAGTTGGTGCAATACCAGCTAAGCAGTGTAATTTCTCCAGTGGTGTAGGGCTCAGACACCCTGTGATAATATAGCATGTCTCATTAAGAGCCACATCCACTGTTTTAGTGTGGTGAGATGTGTTCCACACTGGGCATGCGTACTCAGCAGCAGAGTAGCATAGCACAAGGGCAGATGTCTTCACTGTGTCTGGTTGTGATCCCCAGGTTGTGCCAGTCAGCTTTCGTATGATATTGTTTCTAGCACCCACTTTTTGCTTGATGTTCAGGCAGTGCTTCTTGTAGGTCAGAGCACAGTCCAGAGTGACTCCCAGGTATTTGGGTGCGCTGCAATGCTCCAGTGGGATTCCTTCCCTGGTGATCTTCAGAGCTCAGGATGCTTCTCTGTTCTTGAGATGAAAGGCGTATGTCTGTGTTTTAGATGGGTTGGGGATCAGCTGGTTTTCCCTGTAATAGGCAGTAAGAGCACCTAGAGCTTCGGAGAGCTTCTGTTCTACCATCTCAAAGCTCCCTGCTTGAGCAGTAATGGCACGATCATCAGCATAGATGAAACTCTCTGTCCCTTCTGGCAGTGGCTGGTCATTTGTGTAGATGTTGAACATGGATGGAGCAAGCACACTCCATGAGGACATGAGAGAAGCCTCCTCGCAGGAGTGCAAGACATCCGGGCGTCCCCTGGGAAACGTCTTCGTAGACGGCTGATTCTCTCGCCACAGAAACTTGTTGACTGAAAGGTCATAGGTTCTTATCCAGGGAGTGGGGTGATCTCCCACTGTCAGCCCCAGCTTCTGCCAACCTAGCATTTCGAAAACATGCAAATGTGAGTACAGCAATAGGTACCGCTCCGGCGGGAAGGTAATGCTGCTCCATGCAGTCATGCCGGCCACATGACCTTGGAGGTGTCTACGGACAATGCTGGCTCTTTGGCTTAGAAATGGAGATGAACACCACACCCGAAACACAACTGGCCTTCGTGTCATTGGAAAACCTTTTCCCTTTACCTTTACCTTTACCTTTACCTTGAGGTGGTACGCTGTCTGAAAAGTTCTGCCCTAAGACAAATTATATACACAGCTGGTGTGACTTGGAAAAGTTACTTTCTTAATTGCAACTCCCAGAATCCACCAGCCACTATACCCTGAATCTGCAAAAAAGATTATTTGCATAGTTCCTTTCCCAGAAACTCTGCAAACGGTTAATTTCAAGCATTGTTATGTGCATGTATTATGTAAGTTGGGGCTGTATATAAGTATAACTATGCAGACACTGTCTGCTTCATTAGCCTTCCTCAGATTATTATGCCCACAGGAAGTAACACCAGTCAATTTATCAAGATGCACAATCTCTTAATGATAGAGTCTGAGAATAATGTGCATTTAAAAAACAGTTTGTTCCACCAGGTCTCTTGCAAATAAATGTCCTGAACATTTCCATAAATCATGCAGATAACATTATAGCATAATCAAAACTGGCTACTGGAGAAAGACATCTAAAACACCCAAGTCCCATTATCAGGCCAAAAGCAGTACAAAACCCCATATAAAGGCAAATTTGTGCCTTTACATTATTTACAAGATTTGGTAATCATGATTTGTTACTAAAATGGCCTTCATTTTCCAACTCTTTATTCTTTAAAATGTGTTACAAATATGTAAGAAAAGAAGAAAACATAATAATTCCCTTACTGGAATATACTGAAGATTTATCCAAATTCTTTTCTCACAGTGGGAAGTCCACAAGCAGTTCACAAAGATCATTTTAGGGGGGAAATGAGTAGAAAATATTGTAAATTTTGTTCACAAGATGAGAGAGGCACACACATTTCCCTTTATACGGGGATTTTTACCACGTCTGCCTATGTTTCTCTGCCGTGTGTATCCAGAATTACAGTTCTTTCAGGACTAAAGCAAATGTAAGCAATGTCTTGTGGTGGCTTGAAATGCTGCATTGGGATTTGAGTTCATGTTCAAGTCCCCACTAAATCCTGACTTATTGAATGACCATGGACAAGTCATTCTTCCCTTGGCCTGGAACAATAGTGTTGTTATGAGGATAGAGGTTCAAATCCCTTTGTTAGTTCCAACTTCAAGATATCCTGGAGACATAACAGACATTCCATTGCTTGTTAACAAAGCTAACCTGCAATTGGTATTGCAATCTATGAAGGGTATTTTTTAAGTAAGGTCCATTTTGTTGTAGACATTAGTAGTTCGCGCGCATACCACAATGAGCATGTGCGTCGTGTACCAGCATGCCTCGGGAACAACTGTTCTCAGTTTCCGCTCTGTCGCTAACCTGTACGGTTCTGTTCTGTGCTTTAAAAATGTTTAAGACTATCAACTCACCTTCCGCATCTGAGGTTCACTCAGTGATACGGTTTTTGTCAGCAAGGAACCTGCCTGCTGCAGAAATTCATCGACAGATTTGTGAAGTGTACGGTGATACTGTTATGAGTGAAAGCAAAGTGCGTAAGTGGGTACGACAATTCAAAGATGGTCGCGACAACGTCCATGATGAGGACCACTCCGGTTGCCCTTCTTTGATTACAGACGATTTGATTTGATTGCACACTCAAATCTTTGGTTTTTGTGGTCCTCTATCAGAAGTTTCGGGACCCAACGGGAGCACAGTTTCCTAAACTTTAGGTGTTCAGAAACAATGTTGTAAAGCACTAATCTTGACAAGTCAGGAAATCGTTTGATAGACCTGTTATTGTGAAGCGCCTGTTCTCATGAATCCTCGCTTCAACTGAAGCCACCAAATCGTCTGTAATCAAAGAAGGGCGACCGGAGCGGTCCTCATCATGGACGTTGTCACGGCCACCTTTGAATTGTCGTAACCTACCTACCTACACAATCTATAGTCATCACCACTGCAGCGGTCCTTTACTTACTTACCTACTTACTTACTTACTTACTTATTTAGGCGATCCCTCATAGTCCAAGGATGATGGTCCTCCAAGTTCCGTGTGCTGGGGGTGGGTTCATAGGTGGCTATGGAGCCCTATTCTTGACCTGCATCTTCTCCCACAGTGAGGGCATTGGTTTCCAGGTGGGAGGCGGTCTCGGTCGGGGTTGGCTTGACACGCCTTCCTCTTGACACATTTCTCTCTTTCACCCTCCATTCGTGCCTCTTCAAATTCTGCAGCACTGCTAGTCACAGCTGACTTCCAACTGGAGCGCTCAAGTGCCAGGGCTTTCCATTTCTCAGTGTCTATGCCAGAGTTTTTAAGGTTGGCTTTGGGCCCATCTTTAAATCTCTTTTCCTGTCCACCAACATTCCGTTTTCCATTCTTAAGTTCAGAGTAGAGCAACTGCTTTGGGAGACGGTGGTTGGGCATCCAGACAACATGGCCGGTCCAGCGGAGTTGATGGCGGAGGACCATCGCTTCAGTGCTGGTGGTCTTTGCTTCTTCCAGCATGCTGATATTTGTCTGCTTTGAGCCCATCCAGACAACGTGGCTGATCCAGCGGAGTTGATGGCAGAGAACCATTGCTTCGATGCTGGTGGTCTTTGCTTCTTCCAGCACACTGACGTTTGTCCGCCTGTCTTCCCAAGAGATTTGCAGGATTTTCCGGAGGCAGCGCTGATGGAATCATTCCAGGAGTTGCATGTGACGCCTGTAGACAGTCCACATTTCGCAGGCATATAGCAGGATTGGGAGGGCAATAGCTTTATAGACAAGCACCTTGGTATCCCTACGGATGTCCCGGTCCTCAAACACTCTCTGCTTCATTCGGAAAAATGCTGCACTTGCAGAGCTCAGGCGGTGTTGTATTTCGGTGTCGATGTTGACTTTGGTGGAGAGATGGCTGCCAAGGTAGCGGAAATGATCAACATTTTCCAATGTTACACCATTAAGCTGTATTGCTGGCATTGGAGTATTACACTGCAGCACTCAATGTAATACCAACAGTAGACATTACTGTGCCCTAACTGTTTTATTTCTATCTCTCTCCTTGTTTAGGAATTTGTCTTACTTTGCTACCCAGCACAGCCCATCCGCTGTCATTTTGGACTTATGGGAAGCCAGGCACCAGCACGATGATGACTTAGACTCTCTAGCCTGTGCTTTGGAAGAGATAGGAAGGACACAACCCCAAATCTCGGACCTCACAGAAACTCAGATTGAAGAATCCAACTTCAGCTACAGCAGACAAAATGGACTTTAGTTGTCGCTTTCCTTTTGAAGAACTGAGGCCTGGGTCCAACTTTGCCCTTGATGAAATTCCTGTTGGCGGAGAAGAAACTACAAACCATACTATGATTTCATGCTCACACATGCACACAAAAAAAACACATAAACTTAACTTGTTCTGTATTTCCTGCAGTGGTTCACTCCTTCATGCCACCAAACCAATTTCCGGTCAGAGGAAGACAATAATCGGCTAAGCTCCAAGGAAAGCATATGCCTCTCTATGAGAGGAGGAAAATATTGTCTCCTGATGCTGAAGGTTGAATTTGTTTAGGGTTCGCACAAAATGTTAAGGAGTACATTCTACGGTATCCAGGAGAGGGAAATATGTGAATGCGCCAAGATGCCTAAAATGATCTCAAATCTAGATATTTCTGTGTCTTAGACTGTTCACGTGATTTTTTCCCCCTGTCGTTCTGTTATTTATGGTTTAGTTTGTAACTTAAACTTAAGACATGGCCGTGTAGCGGGAACAGGTAAGTGCAGGTATTTTGGCAGGAAAAGGAGGGAGACAAAAATATAATTTACTGATGACGAACATCAAGATGGAAGAATCTGAAGTTGAGGCAAATTTCTCAGAAGTCCAATGTCCTAGAAGAAATCCTAGATTTATTTATTTTTTTTGTAGTTGCCCTCTTAGGAAAAACGACACTTTGCAGAATTTTCTCCGGTGTTTTGGATATGTGCAAAACTCTAGAAGAAGCTACAGTGATGAAACTGATTTTATGCTCAAAAATCAAATATGGTTAACAAGGAATGGGAGGACAAGTATATGAACTACAGTGCTAGAGTGTTAGCATTATTATAACAGCTGTCAAAATATCTAGATAAAATGGAATGTTAGACAGGGAAAAACGTGTTCTTTTGTAGTTCACATAGGTTGAAAGGGTGCAGTGGTGCAGTGGGTTAAACCGTTGAGCTGATGAATTTGCTGACCGAAAAGTCTGTGGTTTGAATCTGGAGAGTGGGGTGAGCTCCCACCATTAGCCCCAGCTTCTGCCTACCTAGCAGTTCAAAAACATGCAAACGTAAGTAGAACAATAGGTACCGCTTCTGCGGGAAGGTAACGGCACTCCATGAAGTCATGCTGGCCACATGACTTAGGAGGCGTCTATGGACAGCGCCGGATGTGAGGGCGATCTGGCTGCGTCATCTGTCACCCCGTTGATTGCCAGGGTTGATTCGACTGATCTGGCTGGCTAGGCGGGTGTCCCCTTCCTCCCTCACCATTCCATGTGCGTCCCTCCCGAAGCTGTGCGCTCGGTGGAAGAGGACGACATCCCAGGTATAGAAGGAATGTACCGAGGTCTCCAGTCTTCGGTCCTGGGTTTACAATAGCTGTGCTCCCCTGCTAGAACCTCGAAACAAGCTCAAGGTCCATTTGTAGGAGAACAGCGCCGGCTCTTCGGCTTAGAAATGGAGACGAGCACCACCGCCCAGAGTTGGACATGACTAGATTTAATGTCAAGGGGAAACCTTTACTTATAGGTTGAAAGATTCCTACATTGAAGATAGGCTGCACCGGGATTGTGGCGCAGCTGGCTGAGTGTCAGCTGCATTAAGATCACTCTGACCAAAAAGTCATGAGTTCGAAGCCAGCCAGGGTTGGAGTAGGTTTCCAACCAATTGTGTGTAGCCTGTTGCCGACCTTTGCAACCCGATAGACAATTGCATCTGTCAAGTAGGAAAATTAGGTACCACCTTAAAGTGTGAGGAGGCTAAATTAACTGATTTATGAGGCCATAAAGAAGACTCCAGTGGAAGCATGCGGGAATGCGGAAGTGCTTCATCAGCGTCGCAGATGGACGATGAAAGCGACAGCTCCCCTGGCGGCCAGAAAAAGTTAAATAGCCTCTGTGTATGTCTGTATATGTTTGTATATCAAAAATTGGCATTGAATGTTTGCCATATATGTGTACACTGCAATCCGCCCTGAGTCCCCTGTGGGGTGAGAAGGGCGGAATATAAAAGCTGTAAATAAATAAATAAATACTACTACTACTACTAATAGTAATAATAATAATAATAACAACAACACTTTATTTATATTCCGCCCTTCGCACCCCAAAGAGGACTCGGGGCGGATCACAGTACGTATGCTTGGCAAACATTCAATGCCACTTTGATGAAGCACTTCCGCATTCCCCGCATGCTTCCCCGCTGGAATGCTTTGCTGGACGAGACAGACAGAACAGGAGGTGGTTTGTTATAGCTGTTTTTGGTGCCATGGCAGGTTGGACTTGAGTCCAGGAGGTGCTGTTGCTCTATCCCAGTGGTTTTCATCCTGTGGGTCCCCATGTGTTTTGGCCTACAACTCCCATAAATCCCAGCCAGTTTACCAGCTGTTAGGATTTCTGGGAGTTGGAGGCCAAAACATCTGGGGATCCACAGGTTGAGAACCACTGCTCTATCCTCTATGACAGGGGTTCTCAAACTACGGCCCGGGGGCCGGATACGGCCCTCGAAGGTCATTTATCCGGCCCTCGTTCAGGGTCAATCTAAGTCTGAAATGACTTGAAAGCACACAACAACAACAACAACAACAATTCTATCTCATTAGTCAAAAGCAGGCCCACACTTCCCATTGAAATACTAATAAGTTTATATTTGCTAAAATTGTTCTTCATTTTAATTATTGTATTGTTTTAAGTGCTTTTTGCACTACAAATAAGATATGTGCAGTGTGCATAGGAATTCGTTCATTTTTTTTTCAAATTATAATCCGGCCCTCCAACAGTTTGAGGGCTGTGACCTGGTCCTCTGTTTAAAACGTTTGAGGATCCCTGCTCTATGATGAAGAGCTGTCAGAACTTCCTCCTTCCTTTTGGCCGCCCAGCTTTTTCTGTCCTTCTTCGTTTATGGTGTTGTAAAACACTTCCCCTGCTTTTTAGCGGTCCCTGATTTCTCTAATTACAGCTAATGCTGTTTTCGAATTGTTTAGGTAAACAATGAGCTAGGGTGACAGTTGGCAGCTCACGCCAACCCGGGGTTTCGAACTTGAAACCTTTTGGTTGATAGATCTTACAGTTGCTGGTGATTTACCTCCGTACTATGTTTTCCCCAAAACAAATTCCTAACTAAACAGACAAAGAAAATGTCACAGAGATAGATGAAACATTCACCTGATGTTCTCATTTTATGTCGCAATTTTAAGACCATGAAATGCTCTCAAAAGTACGTTTGGGGCTTTAAAAGAGAGAGAGAGAGAACTATGATGCCATCTGAAGTATTTAAGGATCCTTATCTTAAAAGAGATGCCAGTTATGGGTAATAATAATCTCTTTATAGTCTTTTAAACTCACAAAGTACTAGGGTAGCTGGACTACTCACGTGCACTCGTCTATATAATCTGTAACATTATATTACTTTAACTGTAACGTATATACTCATGTATAAATTGACCTCATTTAATGAGTTGAGGGAAGCTTTGGGGGCCAAAATTATGGATTTTGATGTGACCCATGAATAAGTCAAGGATTGCTCCATAGAGAAGAGAATGGGACATTGCTATTTCAAAGGCCAGAAGTGACATTGTGGTGGAGAACGTAGAAGAGTCAGTTCTTCTTTTGGGTTCTCCTAGGACAGTGGTTCTCAACCTACCTAATGTCGCGACCCCGTAATACAGTTCCTTATGTTGTGGTGACCCCCAACCATAACATTATTTTTGTTGCTTCTTCTTAACTGTAATTTTGCTACTGTTATGAATCGTAATGTAAATATTAGGGCTGGGCGGTTTCGTTTCGTTAATTCGTAATTCGTTAATAATTCGTTAATTTTTTAAATTACAAAACGATAACGAACTATTCTGGAGCAATTTTTTAAAAAAACGAATTTTTAAACACGTTTTGTAAATGCTTCGTATTTCGTTATTGTATTCGTTTCGTTATTGTTCTGAGGTCGTTTCGTTATTATTTCCGCATGTCTGGGGCAAGTTTTTTGTTTAATTAGTGAAAAAAAATTATAATATCACACCAACAGTCAACAACAGAGGGAGAGGGAAGCTTCAAAAGTTTTTGGAGGTTTTTTAGCGTATTTCGCGGTCGCGTCCGCCATTAACGAATCGATTCGTTATTGTTTCGGAAATCGATTCGTTAATGTTTTGTAATTTTTTTCACATTTACGAAATTTCGTAAATATCGAACTTTTTAAAAGGAAAATTTTGTAATTATTTTAAATAACGAAACGCAAAAATCCCCAAAAAACGAATCGATTTTAGAAACAAATTTTCCCGTTGTTACCCAGGCCTAGTAAATATCTGATATGCAGGATGGATTTTCATTCACTGGACCAAATTTGGCCCAAATACCCGATACGCCCAAATTTGAATACTGGTGAGGTTGGAGGAGATTGATGTTGTCATTTGGGAGTTGTAGTTGCTGGGATTTATAGCTCACCTACAATCAGAGAGCTTTCTGAACTCCACCAACGATGGAATTGAATCAGACATGGCCACATAGAAATCCCATGACCAACAGAAAATGCTAGAACGGCTTGGTGGGCATTGACCTTGAGTTTGGGAGTTGTAGTTCACCTAAATCCAGAGAGCACTGTGGACTCAAACAATGATCAATCTGGACCAAACTTGGCACGAACACTCAATATGTCCAAATGTGGACTCTGGTGGAGTTTGGGGAAAATAGACCTTGACATTTGGGAGTTGTAGTTGCTGGGATTTATAGTTCACCTACAATCAAAGAGCATTCTGAACCCCACCAATGATAGAATTGAGGCCAAACTTCCCACACAGAGCCTCCATGATCAACAGAAAATATTGTATATTCTGATGGTCTTCGGGGACCCCTCTAACACTCCTCGCAACCAGAAGTGGCCCTAGGTAATTTTCAACGGTAAGCAAACAGTATTTTGGCGCCCCCCCCCCCCCAAGCAATCATTGATATATATTTTCTGTTTGTCGTGGGAGTTCTGTGTGCCATATTTGGTTCAATTCCATCATTGGTGGAGTTCAGAATGCTCTTTGATTGTAGGTGAACTATACATCCCAGTAACTACACTTGCCGCACTTGCTCCCTTGCCTGGCCCGCTTTGGGTCCGGAGGCATGCCTGAAGACCCCGGCGTGTGCACCAAAAGTCACCTCTTCTCCTGACTTTCTCCTCAGCCATTGGGACCAAGAGAGAGAGAGAGAGGTGGAGATGCCCACCTTTCCTGAAGGTAGGCGCAAAAACAAAGGAGGGAGCGGAGGTGGGAGATACCTCCAGCCGGAGGGGCTCTCTCTCTCTCTCTCTCTCTTGGTCCCAATGGCTGAAGAGAAAGTCAGGAGAAGAGGTGACTTTTGGTGCGCACGCTGGGGTCTTCAGACACGCCTCCGGACCCGAAGCGGGCCAGGTGCGGCAGCTCCACCCCTTGGCCCACCCACGGATTGGAGAGAGGAGAGGAGGTGGGTGGAGCGCTGGGGGATTGGGAAAGGGAGCCGGTCATGGGGAAGGGATTGAACGCGGAGAACGATTGAGCGCCGGCTCTGCTTACGCACCCGGTTGCCAGGTGGAGCAGGAACGAGAGGGGCTAGGCGAGGCTCAAGGGCCCGGCCCCTTTGGGAAGAGGATCACCCAGCAGCAAGGCAAGAAAGCCGAGGCTCCCCCCGGACTGCTAGGGCTGTTGTGAGCTGAGGGGGCGCTCCTCAAGTGGCGGTCAAGGGGCATTTACAGAGGCGCCTCTGCGCCCCTGGCAAAAAAAGTGTTCTGCGACCGCTTACTTCGGGTAATGGATGAACCGCCCCTGCCCACGACCCCCCCAGGGGTCCCGACCCCCAGGTTGAGAAACACTGTCCTAGGACATACTACATTCTTGCTTTTTGTCACAAATCTCAGATAAGGGGATGTTTCCTTTTCTGATAAGAGTTATGATGCAATATTTACATTGACCTGTGGAAAGTTTGATCCAGGATTTGGGGCCCATTTGCTGATTTAAATGTCTTGATGTATACATGAGTATATGCCTAGGTATAGCAGAGGTGCGAAAAAAGCTTTCCTGTATTGTGTAGATGTGTAATAGGAAATTAGCATGAGTGCCCAATGCATATTGTCACCTGATGCACATTGGGTCTCTTTGTGCATTGATGCTGTTGTGCATTGGTCGCTTTGCTAGCTCTCCTACATAGCTTCGACTGGATATGAACTTTACACAACTGTATTTCGAATTTCTACATATGTAAATCTACTTATGAAGATGTAAGACCTAAAAGGATTCCAGATTTTATTTTTAAGCACAAACAAGATTCTCCTGACTTTAATAAGTACTGTGTTAATCTGTTTTACTCTTACAAACAGTCTAATGCCAGTGTTGCAGTCGTACAATCAGATACCAGCTTTATGGGGCTTCTGCTGCTACTAAATGAAATCTGCATTGAAGTCGATCAAGTAGGCCATGTTTCCTTTTTGTTTACAGGATTTGAAGCTAGATAACACTTTAAAAGCATTGCCAAAACCTTGGAATTAATTTTTACAATTCTAGACTCTGACAAAGCTGC